TTGTTTTGTTGCTCACTATCTTCTTTGTGATCCTTTGTTGATTGCTGCTTGTTTGTTTGTCTGTCCATTGTTGATTGCTGCTTGTGTCTGTCCTTTGTTTTGTTGATTACTTTTGATCATTATTTGTTGTAGTTGGTGGTGATAAATATGCAAGTTGTATTGAGTAGCTGAAAAGTTAAAGCGTGGGTGGTTGGCGATTGCTCTATTGTGGTTTGCTCCTTCTCTATCCAACATCTGACGTCCTTGTGTCTCCCCCCCCCCTCCCACTTTTTTTTATGTGTGCGTTACTCTTTTGTAACACCTCTAATCTTAGGCACTTATATGACCTTGTTGGGTTGCAAGTGCGGTAAAACTGTTCCTGAAGTTACAGTTCTTTTCTGTATTTTTTATTCCTCCAGGCGCGAGAACAGCAACGTGGTCCTGGAGTTTGAGGTGGACGCCCAGAGTGTGGACAGTCACGCCTGCACGCCGCTGGTAAGAACTGCTCTCACTTCAGTTTTAAGTCATTTCTGTTTTTAGGTCATTGAGATATATATAGAGAGAGATTTTTGGTCAGAAGACAGTGTCTGTTTTTGTGTCACTATTGTATTTGTAAAGCGCCCAGAGCTGTTTTTTTAATCATATCAATTAACGTCATTTTTGTTTTTATATCAATGACCTATATGCAGAAAGAGACATTCACTCAGAACACAGTGTACTGTTTTTGTAGTGCTATTGTATTTTTAAATCGCCCCTGAGTGGGTGGTTGGTGGGTGCTCTGGTGTGGTTTGCTCCTTCTTTCCTATCAAACATCTATTGTCCTTATCTCCCCTTCTTTAAAAATTTTTTTTTTACTCTCTTGTAACACCTCTATTCTTCTGGTGCTCATATGGCCTTATGCAGTTGCGAGTGCCGTAAAACCTCTATTAAAACTAAACTAAGACATTTATCGTCCTTATCTCTGCACCTTCTTTTTTGTGTTTGTTACTCACTTGTTACATCTCAAATCTTCGGCACTTATATGACCATATTATGTTGCAAATGTCATAAAGCTCTAACTGAAACTAACTGACCTGTGTCTTCCTCAGATGTGGGCTTGTGCTCTGGGCCGTATTGACGCGGCCTTGACCCTGTATCATTGGAACACTTCGCCTCTCAAGATGTGCAATAAAGATGGCCTCCTGCCCCTCACCCTGGCCCGACAGAAAGGACACTACAACCTGGCCAACCAGGTGAGAGCAAGAATAGCGGCCAAGGACTTTTCAGGGCAGCTTGAAATTTAATTCCTGAATATTGTTGAAGTTAAAAATGTTCTTAACCCTTGCCGTGCCAAATATCCCTTTTGTTCACAGTAAAGATTTTTAAAAAAGCTAAACAAAAAATACTTCACGAGGTCATGGAGGTGCCTTTAATCCTGTGGTATGTCAGAGAGTTGTAGCTAGTGAATAGTGACAAAGAAGTACACTTGAACTTCTGTGGTGGGGGTTGTACTTGTGTCAGGAAGCCGAGAATATTTCTGAGTGTTCTAAAGTCTGCAAGGGTAATAATGTTGAAAAAGGCTTAGAGCATGCTGTAAAACGTGAAAATGCACAGTAGAAAAGCAATTATTATGTTCTTTTCTAATACAGTTAGAAAGAGTCAAAGAAAAGCAACACCAACAACGTAAAGAAGAGGAAAATAAAGGGATATTTCTTGTTTGGGCATGTGGAACAATTAGGAAGAGCCTAAGAACAGTAACAACTATGTTGGTGGTTGGCGTGTGCTCTGATGTGGTTTGCTCCTTCTTCTCAAGCATCTGTCATCCTATCTCTCCTCTGTTGTGTTTGTACTTCTTTTGTAACACCTAAAATCATCGGCGTTTGTATGACCTTTTTGTGTTGCAAGTGCAGTAAAACTCTTATTTAGTGGGTGGTTGGCGGGTGCTCTGGTGTGGTTTGCTTCTTCTTTCCTATCAAACATCTGTCGTCCTTATCTCCCCTTTTTCTTTTTTTATGTTTGTTACTCTCTTGTAACACCTCTAATCTTCTGGCGCTCATATGACCTTATGCAGTTGTGAGCGCCGTAAAACCACTACTAAAACTTAAAAAACTCTTACTTAGACTAAAATTCAGCAACAGCTGAAAGATCTGAGAAAAATTTAATATTTCTTGCATGTGCAGGTGGAACAAATAAAAAGAGCCAAAGAACAGCAACAGCAGAAAGAACTGAGCAAAATTAAATGATAATTTTTGTCTGTGCAGGTGGAACAATTAGAAAGAGCCAAAGAACAGCAACAGCAGAAAGAACTGGAGCTCCAGGAACAGCAACAACCGGGTGGAATGGACACCACCAGCTCCCCCCCTCTCATGTCCAGCGATTCAGGTGGTGTAAGGGCCGGCGCTGTGTCCGCCTCGGCTGGTTCGAGCGTGTCGGAGAACCTGTCTGTGGACTTGAAGGAGGACGCTGAGGTCAAGGACGAGCTGAGGATTCAGATTCCTCCACCGAAGTCCTTCCCCAAACCGGGCAAACCGGGACCGAAGCTCATCCGGAGGTACAGCGAGCAGGTAAAGAAAAAAAAAAAACAACCTTCACAGACTGTTCAATTCCTATGTAATTTCATATTTAATTTTGTGTTGTCTGATTCCTTCTGAACACTGTAAGATTGTTGGCATGTTCTGTTTCTTTATACTTCTTTATGTATTGTCTGAGTCTGTAATGACATTCCGAATACAATAAGATTACTGTAAACAGTTGGCTCTCCTACTATTTGTTGCATTGTCGGATTCTCGTGTTGTGTCCCTGACCACAATAACAGAGTAGGCTTATTTTGTTTTTTCATACTTCTATTTGTTTTGGTGTAATAACTTTCTGAACACAGTAAGTTTAACCCCGTGGGGCGGTGCTAGGCCATTCCCTAAGGGGAGGATATTAACATCTCGAGTTCTTATGCCATGTAGAGTTGTAATTGTAAATGGGCTGATTCATCAAAGTCATGCTCATAACTGTGCCTGAACTTCAACAGGGAACTGCTGCTTTTTCTTTCCTAATCCTTACTATTGTCATTTCCCCTCTATTTCTTTTGTATGTTTGTCACACTCTTGTGACCCGCTATTTCTGGGGTTCTTTGATAGTCAAAGCAGACTTTGTACTGTTGAAGCTAGAGAGGTGAGCAGAGTAAGTCTGAATCCCTGTAAGGACTTTTCTGTTGACATTCACCCCTTGGCGCTCATATGATATTTTGCAGTTGCGAGCGCTGTAAAACATCTACTAAAACAAACAGTAAGGTTACCATAGACTGTTTGCTCATGTTGGGTTTTTTCTTCATACGTCTTTTTGTATTATTTCAGTCTGCTGTAATGCCCCTCTGAACACAGGTTACTACCATAGACTGTTGGCTTCTTGTTTTTTAATACTTTTAGTATAGTCTGATTCTCGTGTTATGCTTCCTTGAGCGCTTCAACTCTGTTGGCTTATTATGTTTTTTTCATAATTCTAGTTGTATTGTCCAAGTCTGGAGTAATGCTCCTCTCAACACAGTAAGGTTACCATCGACTCTTGGCTTATTGGTTTTTTAATACTTTTTTGGATTGTATGATTCTCATGTAATGCTTCCTTGAGCGCTACAACACTGTTGGCTAATTATGTTTTTTTCATAATTCTATTTGTATTGTCCAAGTCTGTGTATTGCCCCTCTCAACACAGTAAGACTATTGGCTTAGTATGTTTTTTAATACTTCTGTCCTTTTAAATGTCTGTCATCCTTATCTCTCCACCTTCTTTTATTTGCATGTCACTCTCTAGTAACACATATAATCTTGGGCACTTACATGATTTATTTGTGTTTTAGGTTCCATAAAACTTACTAAAACTTAATTAAAACTAATAGTTAAAAGAAGAGTTTTACATGTCGCATTCTTTCCCCCCGTTCCTCTCCCCGGCACAGGTGATCAGCCAGACATCAAGACCCCTCAGCAAGCGTAACTCGGTAGACCTGCTGCCCAGTGGTCAAGACGACGATCAGGCGACGCTGCCCACGCTGGGCTCGACCCTGGCCCAGTCTGTGCGGGAGAGTGCCTCGGAGCCCCAGCTGTCTGTCAGCCCGGACATGGCCTTTGTGGCACCCCCTGCCCCTCGGCTGCTGCTGGAGGACAAGATAGACGAACCTTCGAGTTACTTGGGCGAGCCCTCTACCTCCAAAATGGACACCGGTGAGAGCGGTGGCTGATCGTTGTCTTTGCTCTGTACTCTACCTGTTTTGGTTTGGTTTGGTTGGGAGGGGGGAGGGGGTTGTTGTAAAACGCTCAGAGCCTGTGTATTTTAGTCAGGATTGAGTGCTATGTAAATGCCTTATATTATATGTTCTTTTTCAGCTCCAAACTGTTATTGTGTTAATGTGCTTCTCTATCAGAAAAGAAGAAGAAAAGATTCATGAAGTGGGCTGGGGGGGGGTAAAGGGTAAGGGTTTAAAAAACAAAATTCTCTCACTCTCCTGCGATGTGTAGTGAAAGTGTTATAATTTTCTCCTGGACTTTGCGAGTAGCTGGCTGGTGAGCTATCTGTGTTTTGTGTCCTTTTTTAAAGAAAATTTTAGCCTCTGTGTTACCGGCTTCCTGAACTGCATCTTGAAGTCTTTTGGAAATGTTGCTGTTGACATGCTGACTTGCTGTGTATTGCCACTTTACCTTATCCAACCCATTTTGAAAGACGGAATTTTCTATCTCAGAATTCAACTGAATCCTTTAAATAACAGAATTCAGCAGTGAAGCGTTTTGTCAATATATGTTTCCTCGGCCCATCCCCCTTTCCCCAGCTCATGCCGGAGTAAGACTGGCAGAACTCGGAATCTTTTGTATTGTTTTATAAATTGTAGAAGGGAAATTGATAAGTCAATGGCTAGATGCAAGACTTGGACAAACATCAAATTGCAAAAATGGCTTTTGTCAGAATATTGCATCCAGCCATTGAAATGAAGGAGATAATGCCATAAGTAGTTTTGCTGAGCTTTAATGGACATCATTCTCTTTATTCCTTTATGCAGATGAGCTGGTGCCTGTAAGAGGTGGCAGCCCCATCATAGATGTTGAGAGACTTTCTTCTGATGAAGAATTGGACCCAAACAAAGGTGTGAAAATGTTTGTGCGTGTATGTGTTTTTACTCTTTCCTAACACCACCTTTGTCTATGTGTCTGCTGTAATGTTGAGGTTTGAAATTCCAGTCTGGACCAGCTAACGTTTCCCTGGGAAAAGTAATTGGTGTGGATTTTCTTTCTGTTGTCCTGATTGGTAGTGCTGCGTGTTTGAAGTGTGAGTTCACTGTTCAGGATATTTGAATACCGTGTGTAAATCTGTTTTTCTTTTCCTTCTATACAAGTCCATCGGCAACATTCATTATTCAGTATTCACTATGCACAACGCTATTCACTGTACACGCGATGACATACATGCAGTACCATACAATGGCGTCATATCACCATTTATAAAGATTCAAATAAGGAAAGTGGAGCTCATTGCATCGGCCTAAATAACAGGTTAGATACCAATCAAATATATTTCCTGTCCTTCCCTTGCTGGGTTGGCGTGTACTCTGGTATGGTTTGCTCCTTCTTTCTTGTCAAACATCTATTGCCCTGATCTTTCTTCCTTCTGTTTTGTGTTTGTTACTGTCTTTTCAGCACATATATGACCGTTTTGAGTTGCAAGTGCTGTTAAACTCTTACTAAAACTAAACAAATGGAGGAAGCATCCCTCTCTTAAGTGATCTGACTTCTTTTGATTGGATTGGGGGGGGGGGGGGGTGTTAAATATCAATCCAACATTCATCTTTTCCGAACCTTGCTGTCCCTGGATGTGGTTTTAACCCCTCACTGTTTCTTTTACTCTGACCACCAGATGGCTCCAAGCACCAGATGGTTACTCTGGCTAATCAGATCATCGCAGCCATCCCAGAACGCATCAAACTGTCTCCGTCAAAAGGAGATGAGGTGGACGACGCCTCTAGCGGTCGGGGCAGGAGCGAATCTCACAGCTCCTTGCCCTCGCAGGGCTCGCCCCGACCCTCTTCTTTTGGTGATGATTCAGGAATCTCCACCCCAATGACTGACAGCCTGGCCTTTGAGGAGTACAGGTGAGAGGGGGGTAGAGCAATGTCTCTTTCAACACTCTAGTCTCTGTCCTCTCCTCTGTCTTGCCCTTTCTAGGCATTGAATGATCATTGTGGTTGGTTAGCAGGTGTTCTGGTGTATGTTTTGCTCCTTCTTTCCTGTCAAACATCTGTCATCCTTGTATCTCCTCCTTTTTTTGTCTGTTACTCTCTTGTAACACCTCTAGTCTTCGGCACTTATATGACCTTATTGTGTTGCAAGTACTGTGAAAACCTTTACTGAAACTGAAAGAGACATAAATCTCTTACTAAAGCTAGACAAGCTAAACATTCTATGTATGCGCCTTGAAGTGTCTTTAAGCCATTCCGGGGGGGAGGGGGGGGGGGGATATTACCACGTTCTTATGCACAGTAGAATTGTAAATTATGTGCTGATTTATCATTGTCTTGCTCATACTGTGCCAGAGCAACATAGGGGGAACTGCTGCTTTTTCTTTCCTGATCCTTTCCATCGTCGTTTTTCCCCTACTTCTTTTGCATGTTTGTCACTCTCTTGGAAATTGCTTTTTCTGGGGTACCTTGATAGTTGAAGCAGACTTTGTGCTGTTGAGGCTAGAAAGGTGAGCAGAGTAAGCCTGATTCCCCATTTGGACTTCTCTGTTGACATTCACCCCTTGGCGTTCATATGACCTAATGCAGTTGCGAGCGCCGTAAAACCTCACTAAAACTTTGTAAACATTCTATGTATGCATCCTACCAAAAGCAAGCATTCTACATATGGGTCATTTTTCTGCTGCTCTGGCCTCCAGGTACCCTGAGTTTGGCACGCCGGCATCCAGCCTTAGCCCCGACTCCACGTGTCTGCCCAGCCCGTACAGCCCCTACAGCTTCACACTGGACTCTCCTCCACCCACCACAGCCGAGTTCACAGAGTACTTCAACGCGCCCACCACCTACATGGAGAAAGACTTCTCACAGCTCACTCTCTCTGGTCAGTTTTGGTCGTCATCGTCATCATCATCAGCCTTTCTCACCATGTGCCGAACATTTTCTTTCTGTCGGTGGATGGTTGGCGGGTGCTCTAATGTGGTTTGCCCCTTCTTTCCTAAGAAACATCTATTGTATTTATCTCTCCTCCTTTTTTGTGCCTAATCTTTGCCACTTATATGACCTTATTATGTTGCAAGTACCATAAAACTCTTAGTGAAAAAAACCAGTAATGTGTCCGGACAAATTTGCACTTGGGATATTTGTATTGTCCGTCAGTACCGAAAATGGACAACCCTGACATGAAAAAAAAATATTTTCTAGCCTAAACTCTCTGTATCATCAGTTTGTTGCTTTAAAAAAGTTGTTTTCGGCTGATGTTCAGTACCCTGACAAATTTTTCATTGAAGGTGGAAGTTTTTACATAGTTGCTGTCTGTTAACCTTTTTATTGTCATTGCCATAACAACTGGCAACTGTAGTGTAACAGTTAGGCCGTTGCATGCAGACTTGAATTCAGGTGAGAGCTTCTGCTGTGATTGTGTATCCCTGTCAGCTTAGATGGACACTGACAAAAAAGGTTCATGTCCACCTCCTAAGTTACCTAAATTGTGTTGATGGGGTGTAAAACATCTAGGACTATACTTATATTATTTTTTTTTTTTTTTAAATAGCTATAGCCTGTTAGTGTCTTTTATTGACGTCTTCAGACCAAGAGCAGCGTAAGCTGTACGAGGCAGCCAAGGTGATCCAGAGCGCGTATCGCCAGTACCGCGACAAGCAGGTACAGCAGCAGCAGATGCAGCAGATGCAGCAGCAGAAGGAGATCGAGGCGGCCATCCTCATCCAGAGCTACTACCGCAGATACAAGACGGTGAGTCGGAGATGGGGAGGCAGAGACAGTGAATTGCAGATAGGGAGTTGGAGACAGTGAATTTCAGATAGGGAGTTGGAGATAGTAAGTCGCAGATAGGGAGTTGGGGATAGTGAGTCTGAGATGGGGAGGCGGAGATGGTGAGTTTGAGGTAAGATAAGATAAGATAATACTTTATTATCCCAGAGGGAAATTTTTCTTGGCTGTACAGGAACGTAAAAACTCATGCAGGTGTACATAAAAATTTTAATTATATATTACTCTCTTTAAATTTCTATATGAAAAGAGAAGTAAAGCTGACAAAATATACCTATGTAATTAGATGCATCATTCAATCACAATGAGTCTGAGACAGTGAGTCGAAGATAGCTGCAGTCTCCAACGAGGCATTCTTGAAAATTGAGTACAGTCGAACCTGATGCAACAGTGGCCCCTGTCCTAGACAATCACCTGTACAATCAAGACATCTATCTTCCTCATCTCTCCTTCTGTTCTTTGTATGTTACTCTCAAGTAACACTTCTAATCTTTGGCACTCACATGACCTTATTTGTGTTGCAAGTGTAGAGAAAACTTACTGTGGGTGGTTTTCTGGCTAGTACTCTGGTGTGGTCTGCTCTTTCTTTTCTATCTAACATCTATCATCCTTATCTGTCCGTCTTTTTTTGTGTTTGTTATTCTCTTGTAACATCTCTGATCTGTGGAACTTATTTGACCTGATTATGTTGCAAGTGCTGTAAAACACTTTTTTAAAAGAACAAAAAACACTCTACTAAAACCAAAACACCCAAAAATGTGACATATGAACAATGGACTAAGACTGTGCATCCGCCGGTTGTATTTTCAGTACGCATACTACAAGAAGATGAGTCATGCCGCCGTACTGATCCAGAACCAGTTCCGGACGTACTACGCTCGCCGCAAGAAGCGCGGGGATGCTGGGAACACTCTGCAGGGTCTGCGGAGAGAGTCCGAGAGGCTGAAGAAAGGCCGCAATCAGTCGGTGATCATTCAGCAGAGATTCAGGTAAGGGGCAGGGGATATCGTTACTGTTGTCCTTTTTCTGTTTAGAATTATATTTTTTCACTTTCTTTTCCAAATAGTCGTCATCTAAGATAAAATGATTCAGCCCTGTTATCGCATTCGTATGGGTGATTGGTAGGTGCTCTGGTGTGGTTCGCTCCTTCAGTCACCTATCAAACACCTATCGACCTTATGTCTCCTCTTTTCTTTTCTTTTCTTTGTATGTTGTTCTTTTGTAATACCTGTAATGCCCTAGTTGTGTTGCAAATGCAAAACTTTTACTAAAATTAAACTGAGATTCAGGTAAAGGGATTGAGTATGGATATTATTTGTCCATTTTCAATTCAGAATCATATTTTTTCTGTTTTGTTCAGGAATAGCTGACATCTAAAATTTAAAAAATAATTCTTGGTAATCCTTTTCCTGTTAGGATGGTCTTTTCATCTACCAAATAGCCCAAAATATTCTCAAGTTGGCCTTGGAAAAGGCTTATTTGAAATACTTTATCCACGGCGTTGAAAAATTTCTCATATTTCTACATTTGTTTGATTGTCCTGCAGGTCTCACTACCAGAGGAAGTCGCTTGATGGCAAAGAAGGCGGAGGTCAAGGTCAGGGCAGCGGAGATGCCCCAGACAGGTGGGTACCTTTTGTCGTTGATGGAACGCACGCAGCGACTTAAAGCAAAAAGGAAGAAAACCAATTTAGCATTGCAAAGATTTAGACTGAAGAGTGGTGGAACAAATTTTATTCATTGAAGACAGCATTTATGTTTAAAATAAATGTTTTTGTAATTACTTCTGTTTTCTTGCTGATTTAGTATCTTTAGTTAGGCTTTCAAAGAGGTTTTTTTTTTTGGCCTGGATTGTCTTCCTGTCCTGTAGAAAAGGTAGGTTTAACATGATGGACATAAGCTTGACAGCCCATTTGCTTGACAGCCTTTCCTTGACAGTGCCCTGAACACATGCCTCAACTCACAGAGGTTTGTATCTTACAGTCGACGTGCATTGGCTGAGGTGGAAATGTCACCCTGAAAGGTTGGAGGGTGTGGTACTTGTTAGGGCACTGAATTGTGAGGTCTAGGTTCGGTGTCGGAAAGGCACATATCTTTTTTTTTTTATGGTTTCATCACGGCTAGACTTCCAGATGGGTTACTTGATTTTGAATCTCTGTTAATCTTTTTACAGAAGGAAACCATGAAGAGGTCTTTAAAAAATTTCTTAACAGAAAGCACATGGGTTTCACTTTCTTGATCCCACTTATATCACTATACAGAGTGTGCAACTTGAAGAGTTGTTGAGTTTGGGGTTTGAGAACGCGTCTCTTTTAGTGCATCTTGAGTTTTGTGATCAAGCAGCCCTGTGCAATACAGACTGCATCGTACGTCTATCCTAACAATGATGGGGAAATCGAGGTTGATGCCTGGTGTACAATAACCATGACTTTTTTTTCCGACATGAAGTTTACCGTTATTATCAAGGTCGGTAGATTTGATGGGGGGGGGGTCGTTTATGTTTCAAATTCTTAGGTCCTTCACACATTCTATAATCCATAAGAGGTCTACGGGTCCATTAAAGGTCTGAGGTTTAGGGTTCATTACATATTAAAAGCTTTAGTGTCTATTATATATCTGAATTGTCTGAGGTCCATTATCTGTCCAAGGTCCAGCGTCCATGACATTTCTGTTTTTGCTCTAGTCAGTTACATGTCGAAGGTTCAGGATGAATGATGTCCATGCTCTAGGGTCCAATATACGTCTAAATTTGAGGGTCCAATAAGTGTGTTCAATATACGTTTTAAGCTCTAGGGTTCAATTTATATATTCAGGTTACTGGATCAAATACACATTTGTTCTGGGGTCTGTGTGAAAATACTAACCTTGAAGAGATGAAAGAAGTGTGTACTGTTGGATCATCTGTGATCAGGCTTTTGGATTCTCATACCTTTCATGTATCACAGGGATGCCATTTTTCCCTCTTTTTTTTTGGTTATTTTTGCTGAAATCTGGTAGGAAGAGCAGTTATTACTCTCAGCATTTTTTTCTGTTTAACCCCATATTAGCTGTGCCCAGCATCTGTCTTTTTGCTCGCAAATGCAACGCAGTGAATTTTCACACTTATGCTCACAAAATCCCAGCGGAATCCCTTGGTGTCAGAAAATGTCTTTTTGTGGTGCGTGCCAACTAAACCATGCCCTTCCTTCCCTCCCTCCCCTACTTTCTCTCACTGCTGCCCATAACCGCATGCCATCAGGGAGTTGTATCAGCTGGTGCAGGTGGTGCGGGTAGGTACTCGGACCCACGTCGCCGGAGGCCCGACCGTTATTGTGTTCATGTGCACTTGTGTACTACTTCGTCGTATACTTGAGTGTATACTACTACTTACTAATTACGCCCTGCTTGGACGGTGTTTGCTGACCTCTGTTGTGGTAGATGTTTTTTGCCTCCCTCCTCGCGTTGGCTGAGGTTTATAGTTCCATAGTCGAAGACATTAACAAGGACAATTGAAAACCTGAAGTCCTGTTCATTTGTGTGAAGTCTTCGGAGGAGCTGGGGGTGATGGTACTTGTTTGGTGTCAGCCTCGAGTTGTGAAGAGAATGTATTTCAGTAAAGCTTTTTGTTCAGTATGTTGGTTTCTTTTTTCTGTTTGTTTAATGGTCATTTTTATAATTACATATTTACATATGTCCGTCTCTTGTTGTGATCCTGTACTCGGAGCATTTGCTGTTCACCGTAAATGTTTGATATTGTTGTTCGTATTGGGTTTATATCCGAATTTTTTTTCTTCCCCACCTCCCCATTTCGCGTCATCGTCAGTTTCTTCCTCTCCTGTTTATTTTTGTTGGCTGTGTTGTTATTTTGTGGGTACTGCTGGATGTGTCCTGTAGCAACATATGTTATGAAGCAGTAAATCGTTTCAGCGTAGCACGTAAAAGACCAGAGTTTGATTCCTGTGTGGTGAGAATTTTTATTGAGTATCTCGGTCTTTCTACTGGACGATGTATCCCTCTCATCCTAGGTTGGCCCTGATGGGCAAGGTGGAGCCCAACATCCGAAATGATCTAAATTGTGATGATTGGGGTTGTTAAACACTTACATTTAAAATTCTCTAGCCTCCGTTTTCTCATGTTGTAATGTCGTCTTTAGCACTTACTATGAAAGGAGAAAAATGCCAGGTTACGTTTTGGTAAATTTATTTTTTAAAAATAATTCTCTTCTTTTTGTGAATCTTTGATTGTAAAAGAGTTGCAGGAAATAATGGGTTTTTTGTCTTTTCTACATGCATGGAATTTTTTGGGGGGTTTTTTGTTTGTTTAGGGGTATGAAGAACATTTGAAACAAAAAGCAGTAAAGCTTTTGTTAGAATACGTGTTGCTTTTATATGACCTATGACCTTTCAAACAATATCATGTGCCTCTGTTCTGTTTCAACTTTCACCCTTCAAGACTCTTCTGAACCGTTAACACTTTTGACACACGCAGCGCGCAGAGCGTGCAACACTTATCCCCACGGACCAGAATACAGGTGCAGTAAATGCTATATCACACCGTCACCGATCGGCATCCTGCGGGGAAAAGGGACGGCTTCTTACCGTTGCTGATCGGCGTCCCGTGGGGGCATAGTGTTAAGTTATATTTTCTCTTGTACATTGGGTGGAGGCGGTTTAGCTTGTGTTGTGATTTCGTTTCCGAAGTTTATTCCCAGACTCACGACATGACATCAGAAGTAAGTTTATATATACTTTTCCCAGCAAAATGGACCCCCTTTTTTTTTCTTTTAAAAAATTGAATGTGGTGTCTTTCTTTTGATCGCCAGTATATGTCCATGACCTTTCTTAATGTCACTAAACCCGTTTGTTGTTCTCAGAGCAGCCCCGATAACGAAGCATGAAGATGGAAGTTGTTGTACTTAGCTCGAGGTACTATCTGTTTTCTTACGGCACTTGTATGATGTACACGTTGGCCTTGCCCAGGGGACACTCCCTGTGCTGTGGCCAGCTCGTAGACTGTAGTGGTGGCTTTTTCTAGCACTTGTCTTTTTCCACCTATTTCCACCTTGACTTCTAGGGGGTTGAGCAGGTCGGCCTTTGAATGTAATAGCTACTTTATTTCACAAGTTTGCACTCATGCGGATTTAACCTTAAAGAACCAGTAAAATCCTATGCAGAGCTAGATAGTGGTATGTGTAACGAAAGTGAGACCGTAAAGCTTCTATGCTGTACATGTTACGTTTTAGAAATGTTCACATCAGCCATTTCCTGGATCGTTTGTCCTTTGCCCGCTGTGGGTACAAAACAAGTGAAATAGTCCAGACAGATCTAGTGTGTAAGTTAATGAATTTGGGCATTGTTATCGAGTTCATCTGCTTTCTGTTTTAAGAAAAATGCTGGCAAAAAAAAAAACAACCCTCAGACTTTTCAACTGCCATTCCCCACTTGGAGTAGAAGAAGAGAATGGGGATGTTCTTTTTGTTGTAGTTTAAGAATACCAGGGTATTTGTACTGGGGACCAAAGTATCTTTTCAAGTTGAGAGCTCGGGTATAGTTCAACCATTGGTAACAAGGTATTTCCTCAAGGTAAGCTTAGGTGAGGTCTAGAAGAATCATTAGTAATGAGGTATTTCTTCAAGGTGAGGTCTAGAAGAATCATTAGTAATGAGGTATTTCTTCAAGGTGAGATCTAGAAGAACCATAAGTAATGAGGTATTTCTTCAAGGTGAGGTCTAGAAGAATCATTAGTAATGAGGTATTTCTTCAAGGTGAGGTCTAGAAGAATCATTAGTAATGAGGTATTTCTTCAAGGTGAGGTCTAGAAGAACCATAAGTAACAAGAGCTATTAGTACCAAGGTATTTTTTCAAAATGATGCCTCGGAGATTTATAAGAAGTTATTTCTTTAAAGTGAGGCCAAGAAGATCCAATTGTAACAAGGTATTTCTTTATTTAATTAAGATGAGGGCTAAAAGAGTCCCTAGTAATGAGGAATTTCTCCCGAGATGAGGGCGGGAAGAGCAATTGTAAGGAGACATTTCTACAATATGATGGCTGATAATATTATTAATAAAGCAGTAGCTTGTTGGACGGAAACTCATGTCTTTTCCCCCCATGTGACCAACCAGCTAGCCATCTGTCCTGGGTTCTGCTCTCTCTCTCTCTCCGACAGTCTGAACTTACTAACTCACGTGTGCATCTCGCTGTGGGCCGTGGGGGTTTTCAGTTTGTACCTGAACTTCGTCAATTTACTCACTGTGCTGCAGGCAGATGTTTTGTTTGTACAAACTCATCTTGGCTTCAGATTTCTTATATTTGTTTTTGTTTGTAGAGCAAGGGTGTTCGTGCTCTTTTGTTCCAGAAGCTACACAGCTCTGTGCTAGTTTTCTCATTGCTGCTTATTTCATTTGACTTTATTTCGTACAATTATTATTCTTTTTATCTATGATTTGTATTATCAGCTATATTATTGACCTTATCATTTATCGTATGTGAGACATTGTGGTGAAATGAGGTGCTTGTCAAAATACTGAAAACAAGGAAACTGGCATTTTTCTGCCTGTTTGCCAATTTTTATCCAATTTTTTATTTTTGACTCAACACCTTTCACGTGTATGTTAAAACACATTTCTGTGTGGATTACACTGAAAAATGTTGATTTAAGGGACAAAAAATGATTGTAAATTGTCAGTTTCCAAGAACTATCAAGGTATGGAAGTCACCAAACTTTGGCATTTATCATGTTATCTTCTCACTTATTTTACCTCTGAAGCCAGTCGAGCCCCAACTCCTTTAATTAATTACTATCTCGACTTCTATTCAAGATAGATGGGTGCTTTTATCATCACAAGCAATGCAAAGAATTCAGTTCTAACTTGATACCGGTTACTCTACATGCCCAAACAGTGACAATGTCTGATTCCACCCAGCTGTGACACATATTATATATGCTTCCTTCTCTGTGTGAATGCTAAGTGGGGGGGGGGGGGGGGTGGTGTCCAATGTGGACGGGATTGTTGGATGTGGGTGAAAGTGTGGGTCTTGTCTTAATTGCTTATGGGTGGTTTTGATGTGCCTGAAAAGTTCACACATGGAAAATATTTTAAGTTACAACAATTTTTGTTTTATTTTTTTATTTTTTTATTTTTTTTTTGGGGGGGGGGGGGGGGATTTGTTTTCTTTTTTACATATTTTCCTTTTCTCTTCTTATTACACCTCATGTTTTTTCCGGAACTTGCACTTATTCACTGTGGCATGATTGGTTTTATTGTTTGGGTAGACATGTTGTTCTCAGTGGAATTGACACTTAATTTGCTATTGCACTTGTTGTGGTTCATTGGGGGGGAGGGGGGATATACTGCTGTACCTGCCCTCTAAGGCCACTTTGTAGTTGAGGAAGTGCACAGGCTCTTTTTTCAGAAAATGTTGTGCTCCTATCAAAAGTTCAATCACATTTGCATTTTGACACTCACATGACCTTATGAAAGTGTAAAACTCCTACTAAACATCAGTCACAGTTAAATTTGAGGCAGAAGAGTTCATTTGACTAATTGCATGATATAGACTTGAAGAAAAAAAGCAAAATTATGGAATATTGAAAGTACGCATCTTTCAAAGGGGCTCTTTTGGCTGCGAGATTTAGGAAGCAGAGGAAAAAATGACCAGATGCTTTTTGGGGGTCATTATTGTACAAACCCAGGAGGTTTGGATTTTTCTAATATCAGTTGGCATTTTTAGGGTAGAGGAGGCAGGCTTCAGGTCAATTAAAGTGCAGGGAATGGGTCGGAGTGCAATAAAGATGTCATGCTTTTAAAACGGGCAACTGCAGCGTCAGAATCGTCTCTCACCGTGTTGTGGTGTGTGTGCATTTGTCACGTGAGTGATTTCTTTTTTCCATTCAGGGTTTGGAGAAGGGGGGGGGGGGGAGTGGTACAGCTATAATAATGTATTCACTGCAGACAAAAAAGTCTCTTTTGCCAGCTATGAAGGTATTATTGCTGTGCATGGTACTATACATTCTACATGTAATGTTTATATTCATTCTCTATCCCTACCTCCCCCCTCCCTTCATACTTTTCTTGCTAATTATTATTGTGAACTTTTTTTGTATGTGTATCTAGTACTTTGGTGTATATACTATTTTGATATAAGACTTTTTTTAAACTGTTACTGTAGTATTTTTCGTGATATTGGTCAAGTTGATGTTTGGTAGAAGAAGGTAGCTGTTATTCTAAATTCCCCCCCCCCACACCCCTTTTCCCCTCTCTTTTTTAAACTCCCCTACCCATTTCTCCCCAACAAAATGGCAATTGTGCAGATGTATCCCTCAATTACTCAGGTATCCTTTCTTTAGGTAAAGAAATGGGAATAATAGTTATACGTTTGTGTATTGTTCTATCCTTAGAGAGGCTGATACAATTGAGGAGTCCACAGGAAAAACAGGCATAGTCACAAACTGGAAATTGGGAGGGTGTCAATTTTAAAAGCTTGTGGACTCATAGCTTCATATTTGTTTGACTAGTGGTTTTATTTTAATGTTTGTTGAATGGGAAGTCTAACAGCATTAATCAACCCACAGTTGAACAGTTATACAGTTATGAGTCAACAGGCATTCACAATTGGTACTCTCACGATTTTCAGTTTGTGACTATTCCCGTCTTTCCCGTGGACTCCTCAATTGGCATCTGTGGTGTAGCTGTGGGGGGCTGCTTTACTGTCACTTGCAGTAGACGCAAAGAGTTCGATTTCCAAGCACTGGGAATTTTTAACGAGTGTCTCTATATTTCTATTGAGATTTTTGTTTCTTTATTAGCCCAGTATGACTAAATTGTTGCAAGTGCTGTTAATTGCATACTAAAATGCAAATTAGATATGATTATGTTCTGATCTTGTTTGACCACAAATTGTGATTATTTTGAGGATGGATCCGGAGTGGTCAACATGAGAATATTTCCGTTTATATTTTTTTAATGTTCACTTTCAGTGTTCCTGAAAGTTTAACAACTATTTGGGTTTTTTGGGGGGTTTTTTGTTGTTGTTTTTTTTTTGGGGGGGGGCTGCTACATGTGATGTAAATGACTGTATTTATGCTGGGAGTGATCCTGAGTGTTCTAGGGCCTGTTGTTGGGGTAATAATAGGTGCAAAGTACATAAGGCATGCTGTAGAGCATGGGTATGTGCAATATAAATGCTGGCATTGCGATTTTCATCATTACTGTTAATATTATTATTATTATATTTGCCCAGTTCTATTCCCATTAATTTTTAAGGGAGGTTCGTTTTTGAGTATCTCTGTCTGCAGGGACGTATACCGTTCAGCTTGGGTTTGGCGTAGCAGAAAGGGTTGAGGCAGTCTGCCTCCTATATGCTCTAAATAGTGTCGATGGGGGTGTAAAATTACCATTTAAAAAAAATGTATGAGTATTGTTCAAGGACGAATGGGTCTCTTTGAAATTTTTTAGCTGCAAGGCCACGAACTTGCAGTCCCAAAAGTGTTTTGCAGGTACTCTGGTGTGGTCTGTTCCTTATTTCCTATCAAATGTCTATTGTCCTTACCACTCCTCCTTTTTTTTATTTTTTTATATGATACTCTCAAGCAACACCTTTTTCTTTGGCACATATATGATGAGCTAACTGTGTTGTTGCCGTAAAACTCTTACTAAAACGAGAAAAAAAAATCAGTCCCAAGTGGGTGGTTGGCGGGTGCTATGGTGTGGTTTGCTCCTTCTTTCCTATCAAACATCTATCGTCCTTATCGCCCCTTCTTCTTTTTTTATGTTTGTTACTCTCTTGTAACACCTCTAATTTTCTGGCGCTCATATGACCTTATGCAGTTGCGAGTGCCGTAAAACGTCTACTAAAACTAAAACTAATCAGTCCCAAAATGCAACTGGAGGCTCCTGTTTCTTTTTCAAATTGTTCCTTACTGCCATCCAGAGTCCCAGGTCTCTGTGTCTTGCCTGTCTTGCTTTTTCCCTGCGCCAAAAGGATGCCTTTATGTTGTAGCCTTAGTTTGGTGCTGATGCTCTTCTCTTGCGCTCAGACTATCCAATGCATGAGTGGTTGGTGGGTGCTCTGTTTTGTTTTGCTCCTTATTTCCAATCAAACATGTATCGTCCTCATATCCCCTCCTTCTTTCTTTTGTATTTGTTACTCTCTTGTAAAAGCGCTATTCCTCACCACTAATATGACTTGTGTTGCAAGTGCCGTAAAACTCTTACTGAAACAAACTAACCAAATGCTGACTGGCTGTTGTTGTATTGTCATAGAAAGGCATCATTGTGTTTTCCTAGAACTTTACATGATCCTAAGAAGCGAACGTTCAAAAGTTTTACACACATCTCTTTACGTTTTCTGCTCCTCCAGCTCCCCAACGCACCCAGACACAAGCTCCCAGTGCCCAGACTTGGCGCCCCCAGCAGCCGATGCTGAGGAGGAGGGGGAGGAGGAGGAGACAACCCCAGCGGCGGCGTCTGCGGTCACTGGCGCGGCCACGTCCCAGGACGAGACGTCGTTAGCGGCGGACGACGGAGATGAGGACGTTCTGCCTCTGGATGTCCCAGAGTCGGTCGCCGATCCGGCTCTGGCCACGGAGGTGGACATCAGTGAGGACGAAGACGCTCGGTGAGGAGAGGACGCTCAGTGAGGATAAAATGAAAAGTAATGAGACATTCGGATGAGGATAAGGTGGAAAATAATGAGAAGACAATCGGATGAAGAGAAGATGTCCGATAAGAATATGACGCATAATGAGGAGACAATGGGATGAGGAGAGGTTGTGCGATTAGGATATGACACATACTGAGGAGGCAATCGGACGAGAAGAGGATGTCTGATGAGGATAAGATGAAAAAATTAATGAGGAGACATCGGGACGAGGAGAGGAGGTCAGACGAGGTTATGATGTTGCGTGAGTAGAGGATACATGTTGACCTTGGAGGACAAGGACAGCTACCCCCTTCCAGCGCCCACTTCCTCCTACAGAGCCAAGTGGGTCAGATTGCTGCTTGAAAACTCAGTACCTCAGTCTGCTTTGTATTCCGACTTGACCTGAGCTTTACCTCAGTTTCCTCTCTCTCTCTCTCTCTTTCTCTCTCTCTTTCATTCTCTTTCCCCCCTCTAGATTAAAAAAAATAATTTTTTTGTACTACATATGACATTTGGGCAACGCTGTCCATTTTATCGCTGAAATGTTCAACAACAATTTTTTACTGACAATTCAATGTATACGTTGATCTGACATGTCTGTATGTTTTTACACGTACTCACTTGCTCTCACTCTCCTACTGTAGAAATGACAAGGTATGTATTTATCTCTCTTGTTTGAGATTTTGTTCTTAATTCTTTCGTTTTGTTGACTCTCGATGACAAAAAGTTACCCGAGAAGATGCTTAACGATTAGAAAACCGGCTTCGGCAGCAGGATTCAACGTGTGTAGATTTATCAAACTTGGTTACTGCGGTTTCCTAGCAAAAGATGCTGTGATTACAAAGCCTTTGCTTTCTGAAACCATCACCATTAGATGTTGAGATCAGGGATAAGGAAGTATTGACAAAAAGTTATCATGAATTGGAAGATGAAAAGCTAACTATATATACATATTTTTTTAAACTGAAGATGTGTGTGATCGTAGGCTTTGCTTGTCCAGGGGATACATCCGCTGTGTGTTTTGTGCCTGTGCCTCAGGCCCTGTGAGGGTCCGGGTGGTCCCAGAGTCTTGCTCTATGAAGCAGCTCCTGATTGCATTACACCTCAGTGGTTTCATGGATGCCATTTTTCTAGGGTGGCGGGGAGGGTGGTTCTTCAATGTTTCTGTTATTTTCACTAGAACAGTTAATATTCTAAGCTTTTGTTTTCAGTTTAAACCCATATTAGTTGTGTCGACTGTCTTCTTCTTCTCAAATGCAACTTGACTATTTTTCAGATATTATTACAAAATCCCAGTGGCATCCTTGAAAAGAAGATTTCACAAAATTTGTCGTGAAACATTCAGATGATGACGATAGGATATGTTCTGTGTGTCTGCTTAGGAAAATAAAGTTAATGCATTATTATGTCTTTTTACTGGCAGATGAGTCTTGAGAAGGGTGAGAGAGTTGAAAGTCTTTAAAAAGTACATTTAGCTTGCAAATTGCTGCCGTTGTTATTTTTATTTTTTTACAAAATCTTTTGTAAATCTTTAAATGAATTAGGTTTTTTAAAAAAAATTGTTTGCATGCTACAGATAATTAATTGGCTGTGATATTTAGATAGGTAACAAATGTTTTCAAACCAAAGAAGTTTGAGGACATGTTGTTGAAGAGAGCTCTATGTACGTGTGTGTGTGTGTGTGTGTCTAGAGCCTTTTTATTGGTAACATGTCAAACAGTGGTCTAGACTAGGGGAAGATGTAGTCAGTTATGTTGGTAAAAATATAATGATGTGTGAACAGAATTTAGTACTAAACCAGTGTGAAGATGAGGGTGTCGTGTACTCAAAAGGTTTCTCTCTCCTTCTCTGTCTCCTCTCTCTCTCTCTCTCTCTCCACCCCCCCCCCCCCCCCTTGAGACTGGACGTAAGGCAAGTTGACTGTGGTTCTTACAGCTGCACTGTTCAAAAGTTGTTGGAATCTCTGCTTGCCTTTTTTTTTTGTAAGCCAGTTGACACATATGATAATGAGAGATAGAGTTCAGCATTTGAACTTTGACACGGGCGCTAGGGTTGGCCCAGACAGGCAAGGTCAAAGCCTTAACGAACTTAGTATGGATGGGGGTTTATAAGCATCTACATGGAAGAGAAAACGTTATAACTGTATTTCACTTTTTAAACCATCCTGGTAGATTATTCAAGGCTAGTTCTGCTTCCCCCCTCCCCCTCCCCCTCCACACTGACTGACTGCTGTGGTGTAGTATTACTGACCGCTCATCTGCAGGTGGTTAGAGTTCGCCACTGATACATCTTACTTCTTTACTTCCCCTCTATAGTTTCTGTCCGTCTTACTTTTCCCCAGCACTAAATGACGGTTATTGTGTTGATGTGCTTCTCTTTACCCAAACAAACAAACAAACAAACAAACAAGCTCCTTCTCTGACTACACTCTTGTTTGCGTCCAATGACGTTTCTCATTTGTTAACAACTTTTCAGTACCCTGGTAACTTATCCGGCTTTATGTCTTTTTGCAGAAATTGTCCCCAAGTTCCTCCTGATCCTGTTTTCTCTTTACTCACATTTTAACGGAGATTTTTCTCTCTTTTTCTATGTATTGTATATTGTATCGGAGAGAACAGGTTCTCCTTTTGCCCAGGCCACATTTTTGGGGGATACTTTTGACCGACAGTCTGGTGGAGAAAGATCATGGTTGAGTTATGTTTCTTCTTCCCCATCTGGTTCACATTGTCACAAAATATTATGTTTACATACTGGTTATGTTGTTGCTGTTGTTAATGTTGATGTTGACCCTGTTACCTTGGAGACTGCTTTGGGCGATTGCGCGTGGTGATGATGCACTTTGTATAAAGGAAAGGGCAGGGATGGATTCGTTTTCTATTTTTTTATTTTTTTTATTTATTT